TCTCTGTTGTGATACCCATTTTCTCACTATTATCTGCCGAAAAAACCCACTAATGAGAAGCTGCATGGGATAAGAAAAGTAACTTAATAAGATTATCAATATTTAATTTAAGGGTTATAGTATTACGTACAATTCTTTTTTCAAAAAAAAAGACATACATTTTGATGAGAAAAAAATAATAATAATTAAAGACAAGTATAAGTATTGGAACGGTTAGAACTCCATACTTTATCTAAGATCTGTTTTAAGGAGATCAAACCCTAAAATATATATTAAGCATGATCAAAATGAAGGAGTACTCTAAATCTAACAAAAATGTCACCCTAATTCATAAATCCTTTCTATCGAACCATGAAAATTCCTCGAATTGATTTCCCTTATATATAGACTTGATATATTTTTCTTATTTCAAAATATATGATTTATTATATTTGTAAGAAACTTAGTGAGATGAAGAACTAAGCAAAAGTTCTCAAACTAAAATAGATTAAAAAATACTAATATTATATTGGTTAGATACTCTGGCAACTCCATTGATAGCTTTGAAATTCTCTATATGTTGTTGTATTATAAATTGTGCTAGTAAAGTTGGTTTTTGAAATTGGCTAATATCGATATTTTTTTTTTTGGTTAAAGTATATCGATATGTTTTTTAGACGTGTTACACAAAATTCAAGTAAAACAAAAAAAAATAGAAACCATAAATATCCCAAAAAATGCAAACTAAACAAAAAAAATACACAAGTACGAGCATGTATGCGAAATGAACGAACAAAATTAAGTGAATTAGTAATATATGTAACATATGAAATTGTTTTAGTTTAAGTGAATTAGTAATATATGTATATAACATATGGATTTAATTGGATCATTCAAATATATACACATATAAAATTAAGAGTTCATCAATCAAAAAGGAAAAGTCAAAATGATTGAACCGATATTTGTTGTTTTCTTTAAGAAAAGTAATAACAGTAAGCTCACAACGTTAGTTTTTGTTAAAATTTTAATTTGCGTATTGAAGTAATAAGTGCTAAGTTAACAACGACAACTTAGTAAAATTAGTTTAGAAAATGTGTAGTTTTCAAAAATAAAACAAAAAAGATGTAGTTTTCAAATTTTAAATTCTTTTTAAGGCATTTTTCCAAATTTCTTC